GTGTATAGTAACTACTGATTAATCACCTGCCAACAAGGAAGGCATAATAAACTCTAAGATTGATGGGAATATGAGCCAATACATGAACGAAATACAGAAATGGTTTGGAAACACCAGAGATATAAAAAACCAGCGGCTGGTAGACCAAGAAGTCACACGGGATTTCTAGACCAGACAAACCAAGCTGTGCACAAGCTGAATTGACTACAAAAAATCCTACTACACAGTGCCCCACACATGGATATTGGAATGCTTTGCTCTCTATAAGCTCAACAAGAACCTTCATCAACTTGTTGGGTGAGTGGAAAACAACTCTAGAAGCCAAAAGCTCTCCATCTATATCATCATAAATAGTGAATACAAATACAGGCTACCATCAGTCACCTTTCCTACATGGACAACATCAAGTTGAATGGCAAGAATCCACCTGACTAGCATACACTGAGAGGCACAACCATGTTGCTGGGATGGTTTATCGATATATCTGTATAGAACACCAGCTGTACCTGCCTGATAGAGGAGCTAGAAAGGATATGAACAGTGAAGGCAATAGCAGTCCCAGTTCTAATAGGAGCACTCGGGGCTGTGACAACCAAGTTGTGGGACTGGCTTTAACAGATTCCAGGTAGGACATCTGAGATCACTGTCCAAAAAAGTGTAGTTCTAGGAACATCCAGGGTACTTCGCTAAACCCTCAGACTTCTAGGCCTCTGGTAGAGGACCCGAGAATGAGGAATACAAAAATATACCACAGTCTAGAGTAAACACCAAAGGTGGTGATGGAGTGAGATTTGGCGCTATTTCACAGATGTATGCAGCTTAACCAAGTGCCACAAATCACTCAAACAGGCACAGTGAAAATTACATACAGTATAGATAAAAAGAACAATGTGGGAAGAGCAGTAATTGATATCAGAAACACACTATATAGTACTTATCTGTACTTGTGGTAATCTGAACGACCATTGGTTTATCTGTAAAGATATAAAAAAAAACTTTTATAGTGCAGCTGTATGATTCCTAATGTTGTACAGGATACAATTGCAAACTCACAATTTACAGAGCCTCACAAAGCTGGCTCTGGCTGTAAAGGCATATAGGGTAAGCCAGGTATCTCCAAGTTACAACTAGTGTAGAACTCATATTGGGTACTGTGACAGAGCGATGGTCTTAACACAATATGGCCATACGATGTAACTGAATCCACATATTTGTTTGATAATATAGATTTTAAGTAGTGTTGTAAAATGTAAAACTTTTTTTTTTTGGTTTGTGGTGCACTGTTCCGTAATCAGTTTTATGTGTATAGAAAATATATTTATTCACCAACAGCACCACTGCTTAAAAATGTATGTTCTGGATCTGCCCCCCAATTCCCATTTTTTTATAAGAATTATCTGATATATTATCATATTTAATTTTATTTCACTTTTTCCGCAATTTATTGAATCATTATTAAACTAACTTTGTTGGTTCATGTCAGTCTAATTTGTGCAAATAATTAAATCAAATGTGTAGTTATAACTTTTAAAGGATTGATTTTTCAAGCAGCAGGTGACTGTCGAAATAGCACTGGAAGTATCTAAGAAGTCACAACTAAGGTGTTTCAGTAGTGGCAGATGGCGTGTTTCACACCAAACATTTAAAAGTGCAGAGTATACATAAATGTATTTATCTAGTAGGCAGAGTAAAGTAAGTAAGTGAATTCATATATAAGACTGCACTTTAGACAAAATAGCGAAAGTTTGTAAATAATTCATATTGGTATATAATCATGTATTAAATCTAGCTTTATGCAACATAATAAATGGGGAGTTAGTTAAAATGGAAGTTTTTAAAGTTTCAAAACAAGAACTTGAATTCTACTTTTTTAAAAGGACCACTATAGTGCCAGGAAAACATACTCGTTTTCCTGGCACTATAGTGCCGTGAGGGTGCCCCCACCCTAGGGGTCCCCCTCCTGCCGGGTTCTAGTGGGTGGAAGGGGTTAAACTTACCTCTTTCTCTAGCGCCGGGCAGGGAGCTCTCTGCCTCCTTGGCTGAATGCGCATGCGCGGCAAGAGCCGCGTGCGCATTCAGCCAGTCTCATAGGAAAGCATTCACAATGCTTTCCTATGGACGCTGGCGTCTTCTCACTGTGAAAATCACAGTGAGAAGCACACAAGCGCCTCTAGCGCAGGATAAACTTCAACATCGTGGATCAACCAAACATGAAAGGTTTTTGAAGTAGACAATAGTGCTATTAAAGGATCACTATAGTGTCAGAAAAACAAACTAGTTTTCCTGACACTATTTAACCTTTGGGGCCCCCCTCCCACTGGGCTGAAGGGGTTAGAACCCCTTCAGCTACTTACTTTAATCCAGTGCCGGGCTTCCTCTGCGCTGGTGACCTCTCCTCCCACTCCGACGTCAGCTCCCGAGTGGAGCGGAATGCGCATACACAGCCAGAGCCGCGCGCATTAAAGACGCCCACAGGAAAGCATATCTCAATGCTTTCCTATGGACGTTCTGCATGCTGTATGCGCTGAAGACCACCACTAGAGGCTGAATTAACCTTGCAATGTAAACATAGCAGTTTCCTTGAAACTGCTATGTTTACATCTGAAGGGTTAAAACCTGGGAACCTGGCACCCAGACCACTTCATTGAGCTGAAGTGGTGTGGGTGACTATAGTGCTCCTTTAATGATAAATCCAAGAGTATATAAGCTAAGCTTCCATGCGTATATAACATAACCATGCCAACCTCAACCTGTAGGAGTTATTGAGAATGTATTTGATACGGAATTTAAAATATGTTTATTTTAGGTGAGGAACATTTTTATACATGATTAAGGCCTTTGACCTAAACCGTGTATTTTCCAGTAAATATTCATTGAAGTGCTTACAGTGTTACCTTACCCTGAAGTTCTTACCCAAAGTCACCATGTAGTCAAAATTTAGTTTTCTTTCCTTTTTCTGTCCCCCATCCCCCATTATATTTGACTGTGGGACCTTGGCACAGGATTCTTTATTGCTTTTCTATTTTATAATGTGTGTGCAGTTGGAATGGTCTTTGTATTATGTATCAATGGAGGAACGATAATCACCCACAATCTATCTCAAAGTCATAACAGGAAGTTGTCATTAATCTTCATCCTGTAGAAATGTAGCGTGATTGAGGTTTGGACAGTGCAAGCCAATGGTTTAATTTATTCGTTATATTCTTACTTTATTACATTCCTGAACATTGATTTGAAAGTCTTCTCATTTCCAAATGGCAAATGATTGATTTAGGTAAACTAGAAACATGGTCAGAATTGTGGCAACTGACATTTAATGTGGATAAGTGCAAGATAATGCATCCATAGGCGTGCACAGCCTATTGCATTAGGGTGTGCACCCTAAAGCACACTCCGCGTATATGTATGTGTATATATACACACACACACACAGTGGTGTATCCTGGTTTTGTGCTGCCACTGGTGGTCCAGTGTAGGTGGGGGATAGATTGCTTAATAACCCCCCCTCCCTTGTTATCTTATGCCAGGGAGGGGGGATCCTTTCTGCCTTCCCTGGTGGTCCTAGTGGTGAGAGTGAACTCTAGCCTGCGGGGTTCACTCTCGCTCAGATCTCGCGAGAGGAACCCGGCGGAGCTGCTGGCAAGAGCTCCCCGGGTCCTCTCCTGCCTCCCTCCCTGTGGGTCGGTGGGAGGGAGGCTGAGAGCAGATCCTGAGATCTCCCCTGCCGGTCTCACTCCACAGGTGTGCCGCGGCAATTAGGGTGTGCCCAGGCACACCCTGCACACCCCGTGTGCACGCCTATGAATGCATCTTGGACATAAAAACCCAAGGGCAGAGTACAGAATATGATAGAGTCCTAACCTCAACAATTGAGGAAAGGGATTTAGGGGTGATTATTTCTGATGACTTAAAGCTAAGCAGACAATGTAATAGAGCAGCAGGAAATGCTAGCAGGATGTTTGGTTGTATAGGGACAGGTATTAGCAGTAGAAAGAGGGAAGTGCTCATGCCATTGTACAGAACACTGGTGAGACCTCACTTGGAGTATTGTACACAGTACTGGAGACTGTATCTTCAGAAGGATATTGATACCTTAGAGAAGGTTCAGAGAAGGGCTACTAAACTGGTTCATGGATTGCGGGATAAAACTTACCAGGTAAGGTTAAAGGATCTTAACATGTATAACTTGGAGGAAAGACAAGACAGGGGAGATATGATAGAAACATTTAAATATATAAAGGGAATCAACACAGTAAAGGAGGAGACTATATTTAAAAGAAGAAAAGATACCACAACAAGAGGACATAGTCTTAAATTAGAGGGGCAAACGTTTAAAAATATCAGGAAGTATTACTTTACTGAGAGGGTAATGGATGCATGGAATAGCCTTCCAGCTGAAGTGGTAGAGGTTAACACAGTAAAGGAGTTTAAGCATGCGTGGGATAGGCATAAGGCTATCCTATCTATAAGATAAGGCTAGGGACTATTGAAAGTATTTAGAAAATTGGGCAGACTAGATGGGCCGAATGGTTCTTATCTGCCGTCACATTCTATGTTTCTATGTTTCTTACCACCCACCCAGCTTACTGCCACCTGAGGAGCCTCCTTCACTGGTGCCTGCCGCAAGCTGTGTGGAGGGGGCGGGGATATGAATGACATCATATGCCTTCTCCCTGTGTACCACACAGCGCGGCTGGCACCTTGTGATGAGGTTGGGCTGCAAGTAAGGACTCCACAGAGCCGGTCACTTGTCAGCAAGCACCTCAAGGACCTGTATGTACAGTAGGTATGTAATTGTTACTGTCTGTGTGTGTGTGTGTATATCTGTGTATGTATGTCTGTGTGTATGTGTGTATGTGTGTATGTGTGTGTATGTATGTCTGTGTATGTGTGTGTGTATGTATGTCTGTGTGTATGTCTGTGTATGTATGTCTGTGTGTGTATGTCTGTGTATGTATGTCTGTGTGTGTATGTCTGTGTATGTATGTCTGTGTGTGTATGTCTGTGTATGTATGTCTGTGTGTGTCTGTCTGTGTGTGTCTGTCTGTCTGTCTCTGTCTGTCTGTGTCTGTCTGTCTGTCTGTCTGTGTCTGTCTGTCTGTCTGTCTGTGTCTGTCTGTCTGTGTCTGTCTGTCTGTGTCTGTCTGTCTGTGTCTGTCTGTTTGTGTCTGTCTGTTTGTGTCTGTCTGTTTGTGTCTGTCTGTCTGTGTCTGTCTGTGTGTGTCTGTCTGTCTGTGTGTGTGTGTCTGTCTGTGTCTGTCTGTCTGTGTCTGTCTGTGTCTGTCTGTGTCTGTCTGTGTCTGTCTGTGTCTGTCTGTGTCTGTCTGTGTCTGTCTGTGTCTGTCTGTCTGTGTCTGTCTGTCTGTGTCTGTCTGTCTGTGTCTGTCTGTCTGTGTCTGTCTGTCTGTGTCTGTCTGTGTCTTTGTATGTATGCATGTCTGTGTGTCTCTCTGTGTCTGTCTCTGTGTGTCTGTGTCTGTATGACTGCCTGCATGTCTCTGTCTGTATCTCTCCATGTGACTTTGTCTGTATGTCTCTACCTGTGTGTCTATATGTCTGTTCCTGTGTCTCTCTGTATCTGTATGTCTCTGTATGATTATGTCTGTGTTTGTATGACAGTGTACCTGTATGACGTTGTTTGATTGTGTGCCTGAAAAACAATGTCTGTCTGTGTGCCTGTATGATTGCATAAGTATGTATGTATTTTTGCCTTAATATCTATGTCTACATGGCTTGGAAGAAAAGACACACAAAGGGATCTGGAGGGGAGGGACACACAAAATAGACTAAGGGGAGAAAAAGCCACATAGAGGGACTGTGGTGGAGAAAAAAAACAAAGAAAGGGGCTGGGGGTAAGACACAAAAAGGGGACGGGTGTAAGTGAGACATACAAAGGAGGTTGCAAAAGACACACTAAAGAGGGAATAAAATACACTAAAGCACAAAAGGGTAATACATTCAAGAGGGGATATGAAACACAAAAGATGGTAAGAAAGTAAGAAATTCAAAAGGGGGGTTACAAGACACACAGGTGAAGATGCACTTTTTTTACAGGTGGGGGGTGGCAAAATGCATCTTCGCCTGTGTAGCTAAAAATCCTTGCACCAGCCCTGGAGTGGACCTGTCCATATTTTCTTATAATTTTAGGAGGAGATCCATTACCTATGCAAGGCAGCTATCCAGCAGCCTGATCCTGATCCTTTCTCCTTTCAAAACCAGTAGAAGCACTAAATGTCTCAGAGTATACACTCTTATTTAGCTGCTCACAGAGCACTGGCATTGTCACCGAATTCTTACACTATGTGCTGTATCAAGATATTGACATGAGATTATGTATTGCATGTTCTGCTTTGTTGTAGTCTACTAGTTGACTTCCTTTACCTGAATACGGGCTTATGGATTACGCGCTTTATGTACCGAGGTTCTACTTATACGTTAATAGCTTCTTTTTTTTTTACATGTTCATAAACCCTATTTATTTATTTTTTGTTTTACATGTTTAGATTTTTTGACATGTTTAAAAAAATTCTGACACCATATCTCTCTTCTTATGCATAGCCTTTTGGCACTATTTCTTCCAGCGTAGCGAATGCCAAAGATATTGTGCTAGAGGCACTTTGGATACGAATCCTGATATTACCTCCTAGAGGTAAACCGAACACATCCCACATCAGGCTCATAAATAAAACTTGTCAATGAATAACAGATTATAATAACCTAATCAGCTGTTTGTAAGGTCACCTAAAAGAGGATAAACTATTCATCTTATTGAAGAAGACAAGTGAAAAGCCAATCAATTATAAAATTCATAAATTAAATGAAAAACAGTAGAAAAATTATTAGCAATCTATCTTCTCAGTTGCATTTTATAATCCAGATAATGAAATGATCATGACATTTTTGCATAACATGAAAAATAAATGAAACCGAGTCTAATAATGTCAATTTTGACAAGTTCTGGGCAGGCTAAGGCTAATTCCTTTTCAAAATGATGGAATAATAGTCCATTAGGATCATTTTACAGCGGCCTGTCGTTGCAGGAGGTACAAAAGGTCGTAATGAGCAATACGCCAAGAGTTAGAGAGAGTGACTCCACATGATAATCAGAGAGAGAGTAACTCTGATAACTACTCTACAAGACATTTATCAGATCTTTAGTAAGAAACCAAAGTACTGAGAGTATGAGGACCTTTAATGATAGACCTGTATATAAAAAATAAAAACACTTGTCCACACTCCTTCTGAATTGGATTGGTTTGGTGAGCTCACCATCAGACATGGTATTGGGGCCACCAGCTCTCACAATCTGAAAAAAGCCTTATGTTATCTGTAGGCAAAATGAGTATCACCCAGACAAGATCCTTCTATTTGTATTTTTTGCACTATAGTTTATATTACATTTTAAAAACATTTTGAGCAAACATTCTAGTCTATGTCTTTCTCGGGGTAATCCACACAATAGCCATACAGTGGAACCTCGAAACTCAAACTTAATCCATTCCAGAAGGCTGTTTGAAAATCGATTTGTTTGAAAACCGAATCAAAATATTCCATAACAATTAATGTAAATTGGATTAATCAGTTCCAGACCCCCAAAATTACAGCCTTTTAACACAAATTTTACAGTTTAATAATACCTTATATGCAGAAATTCATACAGAAAACCAATAAACACAATGTAAATGAAATTAAAATGTAACTTCGTTTTACCTGTCAGCTCTGTTTGCTGGCAGAATGGAGCTCTGTTTGCTGGCAGAATGGAGCTCTGTTTGCTGGCAGAATGGAGCACTGTTCGCTTTGTCTAGTGCCAGGAGGCCGATGCGTCATACCAACATGGTTACATAGCGGTACCAACGAGGTTAATGCTGTGTGATTTGGTTCTAATACCGAGTTTTCTTTGGGTACAGAGACTTTTTTTCCTCAAATATTTTGTTTGAATACCGACTTTTTGAGTAAGGGAGCTTTCCAGAAGGTTCTACTGTACTACAACAATTCTCTAGGTCAGGTGGGTATGCTTTCAGTTCGACTACTCTGGCTTAAATTTTAATTTCACTTTGAATTCTCACTTTAGTAAATGACCCTATTAGCTATGACCTATTGTCCAACTGGTCCCTCTGTCTCTGCCTAATGACCACATACAGCGGACGGATGTGACTGGGCAAGATTACACCTCTGGCAACAAAACTGTCAGGATCCAAAATCTAATTTCGGAACTTGAATTATTTCACTCAATTTTGTACCAGCAGTAACTATGTTTGCCACTATTGGCCTCCATAACCACTAGGTCTAAACTTTCTTCCACTCATCCTCACCTGCCTGGACTAATTACTAATCTTACAAAAGGCTACACCCTGCTCAATACAGGACCTTTACATTGAAGTTGATGGTCAACCTGAAAAGACGTCTGTCCCTGGATCCTATGAACTTACCTACTCCAAGCTGATCTACACAACAACCTTATTTGTTACCAAGCTTCTTTATATCAACTTGAACTAATCTACAATCCAACCTTTGTTACCAACCTGCATTATTACCAACCTGCTTCATATCAACCTGAACTACGTTACCAGCCTGCTTCATATCAACCTGAACTACGTTACCAACCTGCTTCATATCAACCTGAACTATGTTACCAACCTGCTTCATATCAACCTGAACTACGCTACCAACCTGCTTCATATCAACCTGAACTACGTTACCAACGTGCTTCATATCAACCTGAACTAAGCTACCAACCTGCTTCATATCAACCTGAACTACGCTACCAACCTGCTTCATATCAACCTGAACTACGTTACCAACCTGCTTCATATCCACCTGAACTACGTTACCAACCTGCTTCATATCCACCTGAACTACGTTACCAACCTGCTTTGATACCAACCTGCATTTTACCAACCTGAACTACGATACTAACTCCTATTGCAAACAGTAATTATCAGTGCTTTCCATCAGGGGGCTAATTCACTAAACTTCTATTTTATTTGCAATTCTGATAACTTTCTGTTCCGTTTTGATTTGCTTGTCTTACTATATTTCCTGTATTTGCTACTTTATATAATTCTGCTTGGTAACAACCTGTCTAGGGCATATTGTCTAAATATTGTCTATATTTCTATTACTTCACCTTCTTCCTACTTACCTATAATTACACTTATAGGTTCTCCTTCTAACTATAATCTCACTTATAGCTTCCTCTGTTACCTTGTACCCAGGGCCGTCTCTAACCCAGTTACTAAAGGGGGCCTAAAGCAGCTGTCCCGTGGGCCCTTCTGCCCTCTACTATTTATTTTTTTCCCCCATGGGCCCCCGGTGCAGTTGGGGGCCCGCACACTAAGAAGGCCCACCGGGTGGCCCATGCACTAACAGCCACCTGGTTGACCTTTGTAAGCAGGACCCTGGTCACACGCTGTAGCTCTTTAACAGTGCGAGCCAGCCACTAACTCACAACAGCCTTAGCCACCACTCTGGACACCAGCAAAGGCACCCTTCAAGGTTGGAAATGGAAGGTATATTAAATGTGTAAATTGTGTGTGAATGTGTGTCCGTATGTCTATCAGTGTCTTTGTGTGTGTGTGTCTTTGTCAGTATGTCATTCAGTCAGTGTGTGTGTATGTCTGTAACTAAGTCAATCAGTGGCTGTGTGTGTCAGTATGTGTCCATGTGTCAGCATGTCTGTCAGTATGTGTGTGTCTGTATGTCTGTGTGTGTTTGTGTGTCAATATATGTCAGTGAATATATATGTCAGCATGTCTGTCAGTGTATATGTTTGTGTAAGTATGTCTTGCACCTCTCTACTTTAGTTCCCCCACTGCGTCAGTGTGAAATGTGTGATTGCATGCCAGGGAGTGGGGACTGGTGGGGGGTAGGGAACAGGGGGCCTGTTGCCTAAATCTCTTTTTCAGTTCTCCCTTTGTCACTTACCTTCCTTTATATAGTTTCTCCTTTCACTTTGGTTCGCTAGTTATTCTAAATTGTGAATAACCATGTCTAAAATGTTCAATAAAGAACCAAACGTTAACCCTGGCAATCGTCTCCTACCTGGCCTGCTCGAGACCATGAAAGACACATATGTAGACTAACTCCCCAGAGGGGTTATATATTGTCATTGTTTTAATGTGGGCTATTTATTCTTTGCTAAAAATTGACAATAGTTTGGATTTCTTATGTGTTTAACTGATATGTTTATTTTTTAAGGGTGCAGTTGGTGCATGTATTTATTCTCTGTAGAATATTTAGAGGAATCTGTAGGTTTCTTCTTTAGTGGAATCTGTGCATAAAGCACATATACAGTATCTCACAAAAGTGAGTACACCCCTCACATTTTTTGTAAATATTTTATTATATATTTTCATGTGACAACACTGAAGAAAGGACACTCTGCTACAATGTAAAGTAGTAAGTGTACAGCCTGTATAACAGTGTGAATTTGG